AAGGGGTGGTATAAGGGGTATTGGGGGGTTAACGAGGTATTGTCAATGTTGGGTGGGGTGTATGGGGGTATTGGGGGCAGGTATGGGGATGTTGGTGGGGTTGTTAGGGGTTATGGACCAGTGCTGATCCTCCGGATGGACCAGGGGGCCCTCCCCCATCCGGGAGCCTGCCGCTGGTTGGACTGGGCGGTCCACCAGCCCGGCAGGCCCCCGGTCTAACCCAGCTCATCGCGCGTGGAGGAGGAGGGGGGGGGGTACCAGGAGTCACGACCGTCCACACAACTGGGCAGACCCCAGGGCCCACTGCCTCCCTTCATTGAAAAAAACGGGGCCTTTTGGACCCCACTTGTTGAAAAAAATGGGTGGAGGATCTCCGCCGCTGATTTTTGCAGATCACCAGCGGAGAAGCACTGTACATTTTTTTTTCCCTACACTTATAGAAATTGCTATTTGGCGCGCAACATTTGGCCGATCCGGGCCGCCCGCGGCCTACCGGCCGGGCGGCAATCCAGACCGTCCGCTTTGCCAGACGGCCTGGATCATAGCGCGATCTTAAAGTCTTAAGATCGTGTGGAAATCCGGACCGTCGGGCCAGTAGGACCACGGGCGGCCCGGATCGGCACCCCCGTTGGAAAGAGGGCCCATTTCAGGCTGGTGCTTTCCCTGCATTGAAGTCCAACGGGCCCTTCCGCCTGCCCACCTCGACTCCGCAACCTGCTCCCGCCTCCTCGCCGCCCCTCCACCCACCTCCCGTCCGCCTCCTCCTGCCATCTCCTCTTCGCCTTCGCCCACCTCCCCTCCGCCACCGCCCACCATCTCCTCCCTGCTGCCACCCACCTCTTCTCCGCTCGGGGGCCATCTTGCCTCCGCCTCCGCCCGCCGATTCCCTCCATTTCGCCTCCCCCGCCCCCTTGGGATACCTCTGCCACTTCTCCCTCGGCATTCCCCCACCAGTTCTCCTCCGCTCCCACCTCCACCTACGCTCACCTCCGCCCACCTCACATCCGCCTCTGCCAACCTCACCTCTGCCCATCTCACCTCCACCTCCTCTCACCTGTGCCCTCCTCGCCTACGGCCTGCCTACCGTAGTGGTTTCTCTCTCTCTCTCTCTCTCTCTCT